ACGCCAAGTAGATATCTTCCCACTTTTCGTGAAGAATATTTCCCCTATAAAGGAGTGGAAATTTTTTGAGATTTGTGAAGGCTTAAAGGAATCCTTCCCGAAAGAATCTTGCTTTATTTCCCAACATGTTAATCAGTTGTAATCACTAGAGACAACATGCAAAGTTTCATGCACAAAGATTCAGTTTTAGACGAGAAACAACCTTATAAAAACCGCACTCTATGGACAATCGGAGGTAAGCGGCGTGGAGCCAAAGGCGGCACGGAAGGAAGTCCGCCTTGCAACGGCTACGTATCAGGCGACGCAACGAAGAATCGGGTTGAACCGGGCGGTTTTGAAGAACAGAGAGAAATCGATTGATTTAAGAGGATGCAGCAGAGGTTTAGGTTAATCCAATAAGTCAAAAGATTAGAAAGAGTTCCTAGTGGCGGCACTCTAAGAACCAAGTGAAAGCGTTCTGTCGCCAGCATTTGTAACAGATGTTCAGCGATACTTTGAACGCGTAGCAGCCCTTTCGCTTTTTCGGTTTTTCTTATCGAAACAAATGCTGCTTTTTTGTACTTTTCGTCCTTATCGCGAACGGTGGGTCTCTGGCCAGTGAATTATGGATGAGATAGAATCACAATTTTTCCAAGAAGGGTTCCTATACTGGTTGGCGATCACCCATGAGAAGTATGAGGAGAAAAAAGTCGGATGTTGTAGTGAGGGTGGGGAAGGCTAAGAATTGTTGCCGAGAAACGAAAAAAATATGTAGAAAAATAAGATGCTAATTAAAAACTCAAGACTTTTATGTCCCACCATCTTGGAATAAAAATAAAATCAGATCAGAAAAGAATTGAAGAAAGTCACGAATCTCAGAACTGCAGGCCGCCTTGAATCCATGAATCGAAAACCAACCAGTAGCGAGGACAAAAAAAGCAATAGAATTTTTCAGATTTTGTTAATGTGTACTTTTCAATTTTGCACGATTTGCACATGTAGTTCTCTTTTAGGCTATTATTGAGCCTCTTTAGAGTCTTTCATATCATGCTTCTATTATTTTACAGTGTTTCCGCTACCGAAAACTCGAGTGAGACTGACCTCCTTTCAATTTCTTTGCCAAGTCCTCGTTGAGAATCAGTTCTGTCAGAGCGTTAACCAAGAATTCCAACGAACTCTCGTCAATTCCTTCTACCAGTGAGGCAACCTGAGAAGGCTTTTAAGTTCCAAGAAATCAGCCCGCGCTATAAATGTGGAGGAAGCTTCAATGAAACATCCAATTTAAATGATTACCTCTCTAATTTTGAAGCGTTCGATATGCATGTCAGCATTAAGGACGTAGTTACGGAATGACACCTGAAATCCAGTGATTTGGGTAGTGTGGTCCAAATATAAACTCATTCAACACATGCGCTCATTGAACCACTAGTGAAAACAGAAATAAAAATTAACATTCTGAAGCGACCCGAATAAGACTCTTCAGTTTCCGGTAGTGAGAGAGTATAGCAAGCAAACAGTCTGAAGAGACACTGGATGTGGAGGAAGGGAACAACAGGCGGAGACGAATGAGCATACTGGAGTGCGAGACATGGATAACGTAAGGAGTTTGCACAGGTCCGCATGGCATGCGCTACTGACCAGAAAAGGCATTCAACACCCCATGGAACTTTGAATTGAGCCCCACATATGTGGATTGAGCTTTAAACGCTGATTACAAATATGGAAGCTAAAAACCTGCAAAATGAACCTGCCTAGGAAGTTGTGAGCAGTCAAAGTTTCCCCAAGTTAAGGCTACTTGATAACTGCGCTAGCCCCCGAGTTTTCAGAGTCTCCGTGGAGTAATGGGAATGCTCCCAAAACTTGCGGAGTGCTCTCATAATTTGCACTCCAACAGGAAGAGAACTTATGACCTCCCGGCTGGAGAGCAGGGCCTCTTCTTCGCGGCGACATTGAAAGCCTGGAACATTGCACGGTTCATACATAATGCTTTATTTTAGCCAACGTTGACTGCTCGCAACTTCATTGGTAGGTTTATTTTGCAGTTTTAGCTTCCATATTTGTAATTAGCGTTTGAAGCTGTCGACATATCTGAGTCTCAATTTGAAGTTCCATAGAAAGTTGAATGCCTTTCGTGGTAAGTTTCCTGGTAAGTTCTTTTGCAGGCGTTTTTGGATAGATATGCTGTGGTAGGTTTGCGAAAGAAGAAGTTTCTCATCTTTTTTTGTTTCCAGGCGCCGAAAAGGCGAAAAGCTTGTCCTCAGCGACGTAGACGTTGCGAATCGCACGATTCGCTAGCGTCCGCGGTCGCGTTGCGGTGCCAGCCAATTGAGTGATTTACTGGCCGCGACGAGGCCGCAGACGCTAGCGAATCGCGCGATTCGCAAAGTCTGACATCGCTCTAAGAGAAACATCTGCGAGGCAAGAAAGCAGTTGAGCGCGAGGACATAGCATAGCAGACAAGCGAGGGTGCATACCGCCTAGGAATCCAAACAAGTGGCGGCGACTGAATTGACATGTCCAGAAACAAAATGAGCGTCAGAATTGCAGAAAAAGTACAACATTTGCGATTGCGATCCATGTTAAATACCCCATGGAAGGGAGGGATTGCTGCAATTAATTATTCACATAATACATAGAATTTAAACCTAGCGAGGATAATGGAAGTGATGAGCGAATGGTGTTAATGATATGATCTTTGAGTAAGGAATTTCCCTCAGTGAAACTAATGGATATGGAAAATAAGTTGAAAGGATGAAATTCAACTGACATGAGAACATCTGAAGAAATAAATGCAGTAGAGAAGAAGCTTTGGAACTGACCTTTTCTAATTTGGCCTCCGCGTCCATTGCTGATGTGAGGAAGCGGCGAGTGCGATCTCCTTGCTAGAAAGGTGATCGAGTATAGAGAGAGGAGAATGGAATGCTCATTCATATTTTGGTCGCCTGTTATTACAGACATTCGTATGTGGTCAGGTGGGAGCACTGAGCTTGAAAGTGAGGTCACAAGAAGCGCCACCGACATGCATGGTTCGAAGATGAAATCCGACACCATCAGTTCTCGTATGAGACACCAGATGCCCCAATCGATGTGCTTTGGGCAGATAATTAGTAACTCCTTTGTTAGGGTGAACAAAAAGCTCTTATTTGCACATCAGTCAGCTCATGGAACTCAATGGACTTAACATGCATTCGTCACTATCAATTCCAAACGGCAATCGAATACCAGTCGTATCTTGAAAAAGAGACTTCAACGCCAAATAATTCCACCTTTGAGCGTACCACTTATACTTCACAAACAATGTGGGAAGGAATCCTACAACCCTGCAAAACTAGGACAAGCCCTATTAACTGAGAGACAACGGCTCTACACCAAGACAAGCTCCGTGATAAAGTGATTGTGTGACGCTTAAGCATTTAACAATGGGGCTGGAAGTTGAGAATTAGCCAGGAAGAAAAAAAAAAGCAAAAGTATACTCGTCCGGCAAAATTCCGTTTCAGCCAAGATTCCATTTTTGCGAGGGAGGAAAAGGCGTGTCGGACGAGTTCATGAATGGCAGCTCCGGGTAATCCGAGTGCAATGACATTGAGCGCGATTGCTACGCTACCCGCGACAGTTCCGGCACTTCCGCCAGCGCCAGCGCGGCAGCCGACAGCGGAGCGAATATGCGGATTAAGTTTGGATTTGACAAGCGCAAAGAAAGGCTATGCATCTTGGTTACGCACATTTCAGCCGCGATAGGGGCCATACATCACTTTACTCAACTCAGTAGTCCCGTTGACTTTTTCTGACAAGAGGCAAGAAAAGAAAACTCCTTATATTTGGTAATTTCATTTACTAACGTTATCAACCGCTTACATGCACGAAAGCGTCAACTCGTGATCAATATAGAGAGTCGCGTTCCTTCGTTGGAATTATTTCGATGGAGAGAAACAGTGTGGTGATTTAATGGATGACTCGCGCCCGAGAAAACGCTGATGCCAAGAGCTAAAAGATTTGCGCATGTTTCATTCATTTTCAGCAAATCTTGATGGGATAAAAGGACTTTCGAAAAATTACTAATCACACGTCGCTTGACGGCTTTTCGAATTGTAAATTTATCGCTACTCGTATTTAAATCATTCTACTGAGAAAGCTCTAATTACAATGCTTACAGGAAGGATGGTAGGTGGCGAAGTGGCCGGTTCGAAATAGAAATGTATATCTCCATGGATGCTCAGACGGCTGTTCGATTGATTTCAAATTGCTAAACGCTTCGAACGATTATGAAGCGTAATAGCTCAGTGTGTGGGTGCGTGTAGGTGGCAGGGTAAAAAGCTCGTAGGTACGGTTCCTTTGCAAATTGGTTGCTCTTGCTTTTGTACTCGTAGGAAGTTTTGCGGACGAAAGCAAAGCAACAGCACCTGACAAAGACTCAATCCTACGAGCTTTTACTGCACCGCATACCATCCACCACTGAGTATTACGATATCATACTCCGTTCGGAGATCGTTTAGCAGATTTGGAAATCAGAAATTCGGAATCAGCGTCTGGAGATGAACATGAGGATTATAATTTCTTTGAACGGCACTTTCGACATACATCTTCCCTTGTTAGAAGCAGTGAAACACCGGGATGGCGAGAGGGCGGTCCGGCTGGTTCAAGACATTGAACGCGCTAGAGTCTTTTTCAATGGATCGTCATCCAAAAACCGGCCACCGGCAATAGCCAATCGGTGATCACACGTTTTGCCATGCCAAAGATTTCGGCTTGATGCCTATTCAAAGGCACTTCCGCGAAGTAACACAACAAATATATAGGGGAGGGGGTTCAAGTATGAAAACAGTTGTTACTTAAGTAAATGTTGTTTATTTGAGAAGGGAACGAGGCATACTGGCAAATGCTGCAACCATGCCTTCTCTGGTGATGGCTGAGAGTTTTGGGAGACAAAGAATGCTAAGGGGACTAATTGCGCTGCGGCAGCACGACGGAGGATACAGAGCAGGAAGGATAGGCGGAAGTGATAGGATAACACAATGCTGGAGAGCGCAAATCCATGGGGCTGTGCAGTATTATAATCATAGCATTGGTATGATTACACTGCTTTGATGGGCCAAGGATGTCATTGGTAGGATCAGCCCACAAACTTAAAGAAAGCGTTTACTATAAAGAGGAAGCGTATCGGAGAAGCATACGCACCACCGAAGCAGTTACTTGGCTGCCAACGAGGCGAAGTGTGGCGCTTTCACCACGAAAGGTGCGCTGGTTGCTGAGCAGGACTTAAAGCACTCCGCCCCCAAAAGCGGTCCGCCAACTAGTTGACTTGGTGATTTGAACGAGCTGTGTGGCCAGCAGCGGCGCAAATGAAACATCTCGGTTGAAGCGTGATTTGCCAATGGTGCCATCAAACGCTTGCGGTGAACTCGTTCATAACTCCACTTTCTGAGCTGTTACCTGTTGATGAGTGAAAACCAACGACCGAAAAGGGGATTCCCATTTTGCGTTTTCTTGACGGATTTTTCTGCTTTTTTCGCCACTGGAGTACCATTGAGCGCCCCACTTCAGATTAGACCCTTCTTCAATTTTTCGTGATCGCTGCCTTCAATCGAAGAATGTGCCTTTACTGTCGTGCAATTAATAGTGAAGAAATGTGCACTAGCGACAGACCTGGGAAGAGTGTGCCGGCACAGATGTCGTCTTTAGCGCAGTCAGTTTTCAGATATCCAGCAATAGCCGAATTATTTTGAGCCGTTCGACTGATTTCGTAGTCGAATTTCCTGAAACAGATGTTCGAAAATCTGCGAGAAGTTGCTGCCGAACATAACACGTAGGGCAACCCTTTCAAGCGGATAGAAGGAATCTCGTAAAAGCAGTGACTACGATGGTTGGAGGAGGTTACGGCTTTGATGAGGCCATGAGCGTCATTGGTGTTAGGTGTTTCATTGAGGGGCTTCCTCAGCCACACCCCTAGCGCGCTCGAGTCTAGTCCACTAGCGTTCAATGACGCCACCAAATCCGCACCGCCCTCCAACGATCCCGCGGTAACTGTCTTTCAAGGAGGTGAGAAGAGCATTAACGCACTTAGCAGTGTACCCCGTGAAGCCCAAAAAAGGGTCGGAAAAAATTTGTCGAGGGTGGGCGGGTTTTACAGCTCAGAATGACGTTTCGGGCTAGTGCAGAAGATCGTCTGCATATGGAAGGGAGTTGACAAAGATGGTATCAAAAAGAAGGGAGTTTGCCCAAAACTGAAGTACTGTCAGTGATGGTGCCAGAAAAAGTGGGGAGATTTCATCAGCGTCATATCCATCTTGCCACTGGGAGTGGTCTGATGTTGAAGTGGATACCGTGATGGACTCGGCGGATGAGACTTTTTTCGACTCCGCTTCATAGGAGGTTTAGGCATTCTTGATTGCCAGCTTCAGCTCATCGCCAAATTGCTTCGCCGTCAAAATTAACGCTACATTCACAATCAGGAGTATCAGCAGCCCCTGCAAATGGGTTTCAGAAACTGGCAGAATAAATTTGCAGCGCCAAACCGGCGCCAAACGGCGCCGACGACAAAAAGGACGCAATATCCGTTATCAGCACCTTGATTTACCCCTATAGGCGAAATTTCAACGAAAATCGAGATTTTGACCTAACTGCGAAAAGGGAGGTGGCCATGGGCTACAGTTCGTCGTGCACGCCGGCGGGCGACATGAGGCGACTTGAAGACGAGTGCCTCGCGAAAATAAGGGGGAACAGCCTGATGTTTCACAAAGTCCAGAGCTCGATTTCATAGAGAACATTTACCACCACGTCCCTGTCCTTGAAATGGCTTCAGCATGGAGATGACGCCCTACGAGTGAAAGAGCCGAGAACCCAAGATATCAAGTATAAAGGGAGAGAAGAATCTGACGACTTCAGCTCATGCGGGTGCTGTTTCCCATCACAAGCTCAGCTGCCTGCCACTATCTATTCTATTGGTAATTTCTCATTATTTGAAAAGGATTACGAGTAAACTCATTTTCCTATCGCCGGCTGGAGTACCCCATGGGCTCTGACCGACCTATCGTTGTCCAAAATTTCGGAACTGGCTCAAAATCTCATTTTTCCCAAAACTCACACTCGGAGGAATGTTCTCATCACGAATATGACATCCGTCTTATGGCTGGCTCCAAATTACGCCAGCTCGGCACCATTTTTCGCCATTCTTGCGTTACAACTTTTTTTTCGCCAGATTCCAGTTAAAATCTGAGTGTAATTGGTGTTCCTAATGATGAATACATAATTTCTGCCTGGTGTTATTCGGAGAAAATACGGAGGCTCAAACTAAAATGTGAAAATTCCGTCATCACGGGGATTGATCCTTGGACCAGTCCTCATCACTTTTTGACCTCCCCTGGTCCATTCAACAAAAATGGAAATTGGTCTGTGGTCCCCGCATGAGTTCCTATAACATCCAAAAAACAACGTTTTAAAAAAGCGCGGCTTGTCCCTCAACGACCTCCCATTTTAGCGCCGCCTCCACGGCCTACGCTCCGCCCATCAGAGTGATACTAACAGCATCATTGCTCTTATGTTTGGATGTGGTATTCCTTTTCGAGTGCGCATCCATAACTTTCCCATGAAGTAAGTGATCAATCAAAACATGATCCTTGCTGCAATTGATTACTGTCGGTTTAACAGTGCAAACAACCTCTTAGTTGGTGCTAGCTCGTCCATTAGGACAGGTCTTCGGGCGAAGAAAGGGGTCTCTTTGTGCGATTTCTCACAGATTTCTTTGCTTTTTTCGCCACATTCAGCATACCCACATCCACTCTGAATCAAACCCGATCTTATCGTAACCCCTCGCTTTAATGAGGCGTGGTACATCGACCTTTGTCTAGACAGCGTCGCCGTAATATTGTGGTAGGTTTCTAGCTCTACAGGGTCCACAGGTCGTGAGTTTGCTCTGTCAGTGCGTGAATTTTTGCACATTGTGCTTTCATATATAACGGAGGGATAACGGGTGGTGAACACGGTGCCATTTTCGTGATCTGAATCATCAATAACCCTGTAATGAGGGCAAAGTCTATTAACGTAAAAACGAGCGCTCGCTGCGAACAAGTGATGAACCATGGGCTGATTCCCAACCAGGGTGAATATTGCCTGAGGATTTCAACGGCACGTCGAGGATTTTCGCGTGATCCTTTACGTTCTCGCGCACACATATTCACTCTCGCCACCCGCGAACCGTCTGTGCTCTCCGCGCGTACGTTCACTATGGCACTAGTCTGGCGCAGCAGAAAGCGATGGTCGAGGAATTCGAAAACGAATTCTTCGACTGTTATTAACCCTGTTCTCAACTCGTTGAGAACGCTATAGTGAGACCGACAGACGAGCCACTCACGCACAACTATCGGCACGTCCAGGTGATGAATTATGGATAATCGAACGTCTTTCTTCGTGAGGTACGTCCGGGATCATATCAAGGACCTCAAAACCGACCCGTCCACCAAAAGGAGCCCTAGTCAGCGGAAAAAGCGAGGTTCGATCCATACCTTAATTTTGGGGAGGTGAATCATTAGCTCGCCATTACCTGCGTGCTCTCATCCATAATGGTGCGTGTGCAATATTGTCCAATATTAGTCAATGTATTTAACAGTTGATAACACTTTTTTGCTGAGCCAACAGGAAGGGGGGGAGATCCGAGTTTACGACGGCATGCGTGGCTGGTATGGATGATGCCCACCTTTTGATGTTGAGGCAAAATTTCGATTTTCGTTGAATTTCGCACTAAATTTTCGGTGGCCCTCACATTTTGAGCTCTCTTATCAGTTGTTATCGTTATCATCCTATTTGGTCATCCTACTATAAGTGTTCCCTTCCAATCTCCCATACTATGTATATATGTGCAAGAGCCAGGGCTCCACTGTCACCGCGAACGCCGCAACGGAATTGGTGTTACTCACACGTGACGACATTTATCAGTTCTTTTTAGTCGCTAACACTTTGGATCACTCACCTTCCTGGTCCCTACCTCACTCCACATAAAATACATGAAAACAAAATCCCCGTTTCCTTTCCTATAGTGTCATGCTCCACATGGTCTCTTAAGACTGCTACGAAAATTACCGATTTTTTTTTAACTAACTCCAACACGCCTGTTACTGAAAAAGGGATTTCATAGCCCTGTATAACAGAATATTCCTACAATTTACCTATATTGATCCATCCAAAACAGTAGACTTGACATAGTGTAGTTGGAAAGGATGAAATCGACCATTTTATCACTAGGCGGTCCATCGACAAGTGGAGAAGCGCGGAATGGAAGGCGGAAGTCGTTGAGACGAGTTCGCCCTAAACTCAACACGGCGCCTCCACATGCACTATAACGATAATAAACGAGGATTTCTAGGAACATCATACGTCAGCTGTCATGTTTCGTATTGCCATGGTTGACCCTGTCACTGTGGATCCAGAGGGGCAAGTTTCGCCCATGTCATATCTGTGAGAAAACAACCTACGATCTGACCTTGCCGAAGAATTCCGAATGCATTGCCGCGATGTCTCATCACCACCTTGGAATCCGTATACTCGACAGGGCTCAAGAGACCATAATTGACGAAGAAATGTTCGAACAAAGCCGCGCTCATCGGTGTATTCATCAACCTATTCGAGACCACGGGCACCAATTCGGCGTGGAACGACGGGCATATTGCCTAAAAACGTGCCATAATCATGCTACAGTCAATAAAAATTTTTTTGTCTTTCACAGACAATAAACATTCTTGTGATCAGGCTTTCAACAAAATTTTGTGGTTCCTATCTAAAATATGTAACCAAAAACATCAAAAATAGAGCGCAAGGAGATCAAAAAATTCAATTCAAAATTCAAAAGCAATTCAAAAAAAATTTCCTTCTTAACTGGGCACAAGGAAAAATATCAGTTCGTTAATATTGTTCACAGTTGATGGCTGATACTTATGAGTGTTATGTGATTGGTATAATTGGTATTTATTCTTATAAAATGAGAATTGTTATGGTACTAGAAATACAGGGCGAAAGTGGTGTAGTGGCAAATGGCGCCGTTTCCCACGGGCGCGTTCCGGGGATCGAATTCGAATCCGGGAGTTGTGCGTCTTCCGGGCCAAGTCCTCCATCCTTCCGAGGTCGGTTAATTGGTACCAGATCCGTCTGGTAGGATAAAAACACTGACTTGTACATTGGCTAGCCCCGCAAGTCATTGTTTAGGCCACATTGCGTTCGAACGCCACTACGAATGCACAAATGGAAGTAGAATGCGTGTCGCATCCTAGAAAGGAATTGATCAACGGCAAATGCCTATTCCTCTTATCCTTTTATGGCACTAGAATAAAGGTGAAAGGAGGGGTTATATTGATCGGTCTGGAATCAAAGCGTAGAAAATGAAGCGCAAAGGTCGAGTCACGGATTATCATCAGAGAAGGCTGAAAGCGGCCAGACCCATTCAATGAACCGGTAAGGTTCTAGGCTAATGAAATTGCTCACCAGCGGCACAAATGCGATCGCGTGTGGTGACGTCACTGTTACGTCACAGAGGCGGTGAGCGACAGCAAGGCACAGCGGTGCCTAACGCCATTGTATTGCATAGTGTACGTCTTCCTCGTACCCTAATTTCACCGTGAAGTGAGGTAGCAAGGAAGTAGGGATTCAAATCAGAGAACGAATGGCAAGAGTTAATGTGGTAAACTTAGTTGTGTACTCTACAGGATTTACACAGGAAGATGTTGATTTCTTCCATTCTTCCTAGAAGATGTAATCCTCTAATAGTGTCGATACTTTACACAGCCGCTTCGGTCCTACTCATCGAGTGAACTGGCGGCAGAGCCTGCCATTGTTTTTTCGCGCGCCGCGCTCACCTCGGCTGCAACGCCACTGTGACGCCAGCAACCCGCGCTCCCGTCCGCGTCACGGTGAGTCTTCCCTCCCCCAAGAAGCTGCTCGCTTTTTATTCCCTTTTCAACGGTCATTATTCAGAAATCATGAGGCATGAAAATTCGCAAAAAGATGAACATTGGAAGCGGAAGTGGATGAGGCAGTGACACGGCTCACTGCTGAATTCAAATCTATATAAGAAACAGATTCTGTTCAAACAATCAATGATAAGTAAGGATGGTGTAGTGGCAAGTTTCAGCTTCATCGATATCGCAAACATCAGAATGCTTCGTACTGTTCAATCGTGATCCCTACTGCACTATCTGCAGGTGAAACATGGTAAAGTTCTGCTAGCCTTGTCAAGGAAATAAACGCCTCTCACCAAAGATGACAACGTCGGATCATGAAAATACGCTACACGGACCACGTCACGAGAAAGTTTGCCGCCGTTGTAACTCGAACTGCATCCATATGGTTGTGGCACGACGTGGGCTCTGACTGCCTAGCCACATTTTCGCGCATGCTACAGCAATGAGTTATACGCGTGGTCATGAACTGAATACTACAGGAGCAAACCGAAGAAGGGGGCGGGCGTCCCAGAAACACTCGGAGGCGAACGTTTGAGAATGATTTCAAGATTATGAATATTTCTAGGAGCAAAGGAGAAATGATTACACAAGCGGCAACAGTGGAAGGAATTCGTCGCCTGATGTGCTCTCTAGCACGGCAGGGAACGAGCTAAGTAGTGGCAAGTAGCGATGTTTTCAAGCGCACGATCTGTAGATTCAATTCGATCGGGTTCCGCTCACGCAAGTTGACTCCCCATCAATCTCTAGGGTTGGCTATTTGGTACCAGAGTCTTCTGGGAGGATAGTGGCAATGACTTCTACATCGGCTAGCCCAAGTTATTAAATGGGTGAAACCGCATGCAAGCACTGACAGGATTCAGAGGATGTGCTATAAAATGCGCGGCGCACCCCAAAAGGTCCTGTCCACACTGCATATATCAATGCTTTGCCAATTTTCATATGAATGGCAGTGGTGCTTCGTGTGCACATTTTGAGTTACATTCGTATCGTTTAATATTAGCCGGTTCCTATTTGGGTCAAGCCCACACCACTGCCATTCAAAACTGTCGTGGCAGCTAGAATTTGAGCTAGCCTAAACAATGGATTCTTGCCAACGTACAACATTGTGCTGTCATCCTCCCATGCAAGTTTAGTCTCAATCAATTGGCTGCAGAGGTAGGAAAAGCTTGTTCGGCGTGGACGGCGTACCATCTTGGATTCGGTCCTCGGACTATGAGCGGCGAGCAAGCCTTACCACTGCACCACTTCCACCTGCATATAAATTACCTAAAACTCAGAAGCACGGATCGCGATCAAAATGAAGCATTGTTTTGCACGCAGATTAGATAAAGTGCGATGAGGAACGTTAACGAGGGACAATTAGAAAAAGGCGGAATAGAAGACACTGAGATGCTTCTTAGAAGTTCTGTGGTACGACGAGAGCCACAGTGTTGCGAGGAAAAGCGCAAGAGAGCAGGTCGTACGGGAGAGGGCGCAGACATCACGCGTGCGGCGATTGATAAGGATGGCAGCATCGCAGCAGTTGGCGAATGCATTGCTACCTGTTGCGCACTTTCAAGTCGCGGGAGTATCACCACACCGCTACTTACCAGGGAAGGCATTGAACTCCCCGTGGAACTTTAAACCGAGACCTAGACATATCGATAGAGCCTGGGACACCGGTTAGAACTGCGGAACCCAAAATTGCAAAACGATTCTGCCAAGGAAGTTACGAGCAGTCGAAATTGGCTGCAAATGAGTGCTTTTGATGAGGCTCGCTAATGCGTAAACTGTGCTGCCGTGGTGTAGTGGTAAAGCTCTCGCTCATCATCATGCACGTCATGGGTTCGGTTCCCGCAGAGGCTGAGGTTTTTGCAAATCATGTTCCGTACCCAGTAGGTAGTTCCATTCTAGTTTTTAACTTATCCGAGCGAGCTATGTTCCTGATGAATATCTTCATTGATAATGCTTCTTTCTCCCGCGAAGGTAGTTTGGATACTTTTCGCAAAATTCGGAGCAAGAACATGACAGTCCTACAACACGCGAAAAAAGAACATTGCTGCGAGGTTTGCTTTTATACTTCGTTCATCGCTGGATCAATATTGTAAAGGGGAAAGATTGGAATCGGATGCCCCAAACGAATCGGAGTGGGATTATTGCAGTAACGTGGATGAAGACAGCTTGGGCAAGACAAGGCAGACAAGCCATGGAGTGGTAGACTTATCAAATTAGCTCTGTTCTTTCAACTGAACGCTGGGTGTAGAAGAAAGTTCGTACGAAGTTACCTCATCTCAACTCACACAACAAACGTCAATGGTATTAGGCTGTGATAGATCGTTAACCCCTGCTAATTTACGCCACGAGGGGACTTTTTCGGAGATCTGATCGCGATTTGTGCCTTCAATATTACCGACTGTTTTGCTAAATACCATTAGTTGGATAGGTGACGCTTTGAAAGTGCTTCCGAACAACCAACCTGTTCAATGCGCTCCTTAATAAAATGCATAATAACCGGCAGATAATTGGCGATCGGCTTGTCTGCTGCGGCCAGCGTCAACTCGACATTGTTGGCGGCCACCTGCGAATAGGCAACGTTAAAAGGTTTCCGCTGTTTCCAGCACAGAATTCTTTACGGTACTTTGCATGTGACAAGATCCGTCTTCAAATGCCCGTCGGCGTTCACACCAGTCCAGAGTAGCAGTTCAACATTCGTCCTTAAAAATACACCTTTGAAAGGGTTTTTCGTTTTCTCTGGACTAGTCATTTTTTGTAAGACCTGTCAAATGAAAGCGGCGATGATCCTGTCAGTTCACCAGTTGGTGTGTCTAGATGGAACGATGTGAGCACGGTAACGTTCAAATTCGATCCCTGAAACAAGCTTGTATGCTTTTAGACACCGTTCCATGTCCCACAATTGGTGCGGTTATGCTGATCCAAGAAAGAAGTACTAAATCACAAAGAAGGAAAGAAGAGATAGAAGGAAGAAAGAAAGAAAACAGAACAGAAGTACAAATTCAGAGGGACCAATGATCAGAACAACCATGGTGTGTGACAGATTTCAAGATAATTATATACTCCCTTCATTCACGAAATGATAGATAATGTCGGTGAGATCGATTATTAGATTGAGTACTACTTGACGCACCCCTAACTTCGCCACAACGCTTTTCGTTTTCCAAAGACTTCGCTGAAAAAATTTAAATTAGTTAATTTGATTAGATATTTTTCGCCGTTCCCAAAAATTGTCTTCCTTTTTATAAAGAAAACCCTGCGCCATTCCATCGAATACGACCCCTTCCACTTCAAGTAACAAAACTTGATATTACATCTCTGATTCACCCAGACCGATGATTAACCCTGAACAAGCTAATAAAGAGTCTCACGAAAGCGTGCGATGCTATGAGTCAGTTCTCTTGATGCTTAAGTCTCTAACCGAGAAACTAGCTCGCAGGTGGGAACGGCAGAGGTCTAAAGGCACTGCGTTTCACACAAGACTTAGCTCAATTTCTCATGTTCACATGATAAATGTAAACCCAATGTAACATCCACGTGTGTAGAACTGCTATGTTCACTATCTGCACCGGATATATGGCCTAGACCGGTTGATCAGATGTCACAATTTGAAGTAGTCCCGAAGATTCAATTGCGTGGGAACTTTTAAAATCCCAGCAACTGGAAAGCCCTTAACAGAGAGAGATCAGGTGAAAAATCTTGCTATTTGGGGTGGGAAATGAAGATAGACGTCGGTATAACTACTAGTTATTCAGAAGGTTGCATAACATCGCACTGCACTGAACGATTTGATCTTTCGCCATTTTACTCCACCCTTCTACAACTTTATTTATGTCTATTCGAACCTAATAGTCATAACTTTTAATATTCAGTAGAAATATCTGAATAGTTGGGCACTTCAAAAATAAGGAATAAATACAGTTCTTTAGCAATGCGAGGACTAATGAGGCAATTTTCCGTAGTTCCAGATGAAAGAGTAAAAAGGATAAATGACCGTGAAAAATCGTTTAGCAGGCTCCAAAAACGCGTATTTCAGACAGAAAATGAAGGACAGGAAGAGAGAGTGAGAGACACAGACAATTCCTCACCCGCCATGCAATGCCTTTTCCGGGGATGACGATCATCTTGGAGACGAAGGCTTGTGAATCGAAATCCGTGACCCTAACTGATGAAAGGGTGATTCGCATCTGAAAACACACAGGAAAAGTTTTTAAAACCATGGGGAGAAATGGACTGCCCCGAAAATCGTGCACGCTGGAATTCTCTCTCCTATTTTTGTTTTTTTTGCCCCTATAGAGACTTTGAGCAAATTGATGCAGTCACAAGTGGCGCCATTTGCCACTTTCCTCCCACCCGTTGAGATTCGGCCAGATTTAGGGTGGAATTTCGGTGAGGTTAATAAGCCTTAAATTCTTCCTAAGCCGGATACTTAAGTTAGTGCCAGATTTGTGGGAGGATAAAAACTCCAAGTTCATAATCGGATTTGAACCGCAAGTTGATATATAGCTAAAATCGTATTTAGGATTCCAAAACTGAATGAAGTAAAACGCGTGGGCATAGCAAGGGATTCGTAAGCATCGAATGTTTCAACGTTTGTATGACCTTCTTCACAAACATTTTTCTAGGAACAGGAACCTCAGGGGGCAGTCCTGCGTCCACCACCCCACCATCTAAGGTCCTCTAGTAATCCCTTGCTCATTCTCGTTCTCCTCCAAAACCTTAAAAAATGGCACTAACATCAGATGATACTGGCGCTGAGATGTTGAAGATGAGCTCTCCAGTGCCCAGAAATCGCTTCACTCGATCACCAAGATAGCTACCCATTAGGTCGAAACCCTGAAGAATTACATAAAGTTTTATTACGAGATTGAAATAATATTTATAAGCGCAGTTTTCTAACAGGAATAGAGAAACCTTTTGATTAATTCGTGAAATAAATCCAGCATTCGATCCAGTTTCGGCGAATAGACTATCTGAAAGGAACGTGTTGTGCGGCCTCAAAATGTAGTGAAACCAATGAAGTGGTTTGGAAAATCTCCAATGACGTCATCATTCATAAGGTGAGTTAAGGGGAATGCATAAAAACCTACTGGCAAGATTTTGTGCCTCAATGGCACCGGCCATGAGTGCCAAAAATAACCGAATACGCATCCTTGGACGGTTATTCCCTGAAAGAAATGTGTTTCCAAAAATTTGAAAGGTACATTTCAGAGAGTGGCGATCGTTCAGAAGCCGACAATAAAGGCACAACATCAAAAACAACACGACCCACTTCAACAAGGAGAGCATTTCGTGTGCAATGCTCCGTGCGGGTTACGGTAACTCCTGTTTTTAGAGGGAAAGCGGACTTCATTATGGGAAAACCAGTTCACTTGTGCAAAAACGAAACTATGGGTATTATTTTTACTGAATATTCTCAATGGAGGAGAAAGTTTACCACAGTTCCAGAAATTTGAGTCACTGTACCGAAAGGCTCCCTCTCCCCTAACACCCTTTCTCCCATTGGGATGGATCTCAAAATTCTATTTCAAATTCAATCACTCTGAGAGAATTCAGAACTACTGTCAACCTCGGGCAAGCTACAAGCAGTTCTCTTTCTAGAGCATTCGTACACTTGAGGCTTTAAAAACATTTGAATAAATAGACAAAAGTAATGGGTGACGTAAGCGATTATCGATTGAACAGCGAAGACATGTTGACGGACAGCTAAGGGAAATGATCCTAGTGCGTGGGGATTGTCTATCCATCAATTGCACACACACACAAACCGGCCGTTCTGCCTCGGCTATGGAGATGTGGGTGGAGTTTCGTGGGCTAGGCCGAGGAAGCAGAAAACTACCACGGGCGAGATTTACAGCCAAAATTTCACAGCATTTACAGTTTCCACGGCGCTACGGCAACGCAACACGAAGACAAATAAGACAAACTGACAGACTATTAGACACCCAGAGGCCTTAAAAGGAGTAAAAAAAGTAGAAAGTTGGAAAAATACGAGAAATTAATTTCTTACCTACTTTGTTTCTTTGCTGCACAAACAAACTCGTATACCAGGGATTCTTTCTGCTGACAAAAATGGGAACACTTCTGAAGGGATGAACTAATGCGCCGCAATGCCTCTCCAACTACGCGCCTGCGGCCACTACTGAAATACAAGCGATTGAAATAGCAGTGTCATGTGTGAAGGCATTTCATGAGATCCCACGCCACCAATGGCGCCACCAGTCCCAGCGACCGGATGCCTCGCCTTATTCGTACGTCGGCGGATTTATCGCAGCGGCTATGTTGTATAAAAAACCGTTTGGTGACCGTTCGAAGCAAGTCGAAACGCCATTTCCATGTGTGTGGGCGACCATGAAAACAATGAAGGAACCAAAGGCAACCATCGGGAACTTAAAGACATAAGAACCGACCAAACGTCAACACCATACAAGATTCCCGATATGTAGCCACCTGGACGAAATAGCGAAGAATGGGAAGAATGACTGCAAAAGCGTAGAAGATATAGGAGTGAGTAGGAAGAAGGAGAGAGTGGTCGGATCTCATCACTAAATGTCACTTTTTCCCTCAACCTCAACAGGATTTGCGCTGCGGAAGTAATGGTCGGCGGTCAATCGCAAGCCTGTTGTAGCCATGAAGAAGTAATGGAATGAGAAAGTGGCGACAAAAGCGAAACACACATAGGAGTGCTCAAGCAGGCAGACATGGACCCCATCGGGTAGGAATTTGGCTGGCTATGGCACATGAACTACATGCAGTCAACAGTATGCTTAAATTTGTGGCTTTCAGGCAAGCAACAGTTTGAAGTCAAGAGGCAGACAGAGGCTTTCAAAAGGCCGTCGCAAACGTGGAAGAATTTGGTTGCAGCAGCGGTGGCATGCGCGGAAACGTGATTTGAAGCTGGCCGACGACGAAGGCTTCATGAGAGCGGAGGACAGGATGGGGCACATCGAATGAGATATTGAAAGACAGACAAGGTTGTTGTTGAGCAAAGATCTCACGATTACGGTGATCAGCGAAAGCCTGAGGGCGAGCACCAGCTTGACAAAACGGTAGATATAGGTCTGAATGCGAGCCAGAAGTCGAAGCAAATTCGCTGAGCACACGTGCAGAAGTGGTAGGACTAGCGGCCAGGAACGAGGCATGCCCTTTTAGGCGAGCACACACACACCAGCAGCCATCAGCAAGTCGAAACCGAAAAGCAGTACAGTGGGCGTCAAACTGGATAGACGCCTTCTAATTGCGACCGAAAACGCACACCGACGACAAACTGGCTGCGCTCTAAGGGGCGTCGCAGCTGACGCAGAAGCCGTAGCAGCAGCGGCAGCTCGGCTCGACACTGTAAGGTCAGCTACAGCATCAACGACACTGGTTTGAAAGCGCACTAACAGCGCTGGTAACGTAGATGTCAGTAAGGAGTTCATGAGGTGGTTCCGAGCGCAGATTTGATCGCTGCAGATGATCCACCTTCCTTCTACCAGCGGTCCTGAAATGTCGCAGATTTGGAAAGATCGACGCTTTCTCTGCTCTCCGTATTGCATCAAGTTGTTGAATCGTAGGAGCCCAAACTCTGACATGGGCAAGTTGATATTGCAGTCGAATTTCAATCGCAACGTCTCACACTCTTATTTCCCGCGGACCGGATTTCTTAACAGCTACAGTGGCTTTCATGATGTTTATATAGTTTTTCTGAGCAAAAAAGTGAGACAGAGATGGGACAGATGGGACAGTGTTAGGATTCAGTCCACGATTCACCCGCTTTCCCTAATGCAGTTCAATCGGCTAAGCAGTGCTTTGCCCTCATGGAAAACTATAACCTTTATCTTAGCAGTAAGAGTAAGGGCGCGCGCGCTTCTCACATTTCCTCATTCTTACGTCTTGGTCCACTATGGTCGCAAAAAATGGCGAAAACATCGGATCCGCAGAAAAGAAAATACCGAGGATCGTCCGACAACTGAGGAACAGTTTGCAGCGAAGCGGTACAGCATCAAAATACGAAATAGCGTACAAAAAGAGAGATTCTGCTCACGTACACACAACCACTTTGCGAGCAGGCACATCATTCCCCGATGGAATTCGGCATTTTGGAAGCAACCAGGAAATTTTTGTGCATGATACCTTGAATAATTCTGATGGCCAGAAATGGAGGGGGAAATTTGTAATATAATAGAAAGAAGGGGAAACTGGAGCTTGAGGATAATATCCAAGCAGGGCGACTAGTCTCGCGCATTGAGACTGAAGTTCGTCAAGGTCATTATTGAACAAAATCAAGTCAACAAAAAAGAACTGAGCCAACGAGAAAACAATTGTGAAGTCCACTTACAGTATAAAACACCTCTTAAGGGTACGAAAATGGACAATTTGTTAACTCAGAATATGTCTGTTGTAGAAATCCCCACGGTAGGTAATTACGAATGACTTCAGCAAACAGACAATTTCAATTAAGTAATGACGTCAGCCGGTAGTAGCCGGTTTACTAGGTAAGGCCGTTAAAGCTGCGAGATGGCTGAAGCCTAGCCCTAAGCACCGGCTCACGCTTGGGGTTAGGATAACAGCAAGTCAAAGGTAACATAATGTGAATTGAATAAACATTCGAACAAATAAATAAATGAATAATCAAAGAAATAAACAAACAATAAACGTGATATCAATGAATACTTATGCTTATATCATCAAAAAATCAGCCGTGGGGTTGAGAACGGTCGATGCTGCATGCATTGCACCATAGATTGCGCTGGAGAAGCCCCATGGGTAGAGGTAAGGGAGAATTTCAGAAACGGAAGAAGAGTGAAGCAATCACCCTGGAACTTTACTTACGACGGGGTATGGCTCACCGCCCCATATAGAAATATCAACCTTGTTCGATCTGTGAGATGAAGTAACTCCTCTAGAAGCAACAAGAACTCACTTGAAAGAGGCTCCTTGATATCTTGACACTCTAGTTGGCACACTGATTTGCGTTCGAGATTATGAAAACACGAACATTCTCATAAGGGAGTTTTCCCATGTGATTTCGGTGAACGTTGTAAAACCGATGGCAAACGCCGTCAGTAACCTTCTCGAAACAAAAGCTTAAGAAGAAAACAGAACTGAGCACC